GCGTTCGAGTCGCCCGTCTCCCCACCCCCAAATATCACCTTTACCTCCATCCTGGGTTTTTTACCCGGGTTCCCCGAGCCTTCCGGTTCGTCTCTGGGAGGTTTATATACATCATTTCTGGGGCGAGCATCACTCTGTACATCTCGCCTCCAGCTGTTGGATTTCTTGATTGGTTTCAGAATACCCGTAGCATTCGGGTCTGTATTTACATATTTACCCAGATGACCCATCTGGATCAATTTTTCAATGGCTATTTGCAATGCCCGACAGGATTGGGTGGAGTGACCGCTCCTGTTGTGGTACTTGCAAAAAGCACTTGCATCCGCCCCCATAAAACCTTTGGTGTCAGTCGGAGGGGGAATGTTGTCCCTCTCGTTTTGATAAATGGTTGCTACAGAAAGGACCAAAGGAGTGAATCGTGCCGCTCTTGAAGGTGGAGCGGCCGCTGGGGTAGGACCCAGTCAATCGGCCAGTTTCATGGGGGTTGGGGGTGCAGCTACCTTATCCCTGATCAAGATTTCTTCTTCCAGAGCCGCATGCTTCCATGATCTGTCCAGCACTTCAGAATAAACCGTACCCGAATTCTTTTTCAGCTCTTTATACAATTCATCCGTTTGGAGAGCGTTAGTAAATAAGGTGATGGTTGTATCTCCTTCAGACCCTGCCTGATACTAGTCAGGTAACTGAAATGCCTCTTCGGAGTGGCCCTGGATGCAAACTGGGCCAGGAATAAAGCTGATAATTCGGCAAAGCTGCCGATCGATGCGGGCTGCAGGGTCCCGAACCATCCCTGGGCAGCCCCCCTGAGCGTGCTGAAGAAAAGTCGGCAAATGGCCGGCTCCAATGCTCCCAGCAGCATAAGCCCCCCTTGATAACTCCTCAAGTGCCCGTGGGGATCTCCCGCCCCATCATATATTTGACCAGTCAGTGGTTTGGCATCCCTGTGGATCTCCGCTTGCATGATTTCCCGGGTGAAAGGGGAAGTGATTCCGACCCGAGCTGGAGTAGGCTGCAGAGGGGCTCTATTCATTTGTTCCCTCATTTCGTTCATCTGCCTCCTCATCTCGGCCATTTCTTCCTCTTGGGCCGTTAGAGGAGGCGGTGGTGGAGTTCCCAAGTTCACAAATTCCCGATTCGCTTCCGGCAGAGTTGTTCTTTGATTCTGACGTCTCTGCCCGAATCTCGTATTGTTACACTCTTCACACCGGAATTGGCGGCCAACGTCCGTATCTCCTCTGGCCCGTGACCCGGTCGTGGTGTGGTCACTAGGAGTGAGATGCCTGCCCCTGGTCGCATGTGCTCTTGCGCGCTCTCCCCGGTGTGCTCGTGAGTGATTTGATGTTGTGGTTGTTTCTGCATCGGTGGTTTCATCATTGAATGAGGGGGTTGTGTACCTAGTTTCCCCGGTGTAGCTGGACTGTCCCCCATCCTGCTCATCTGCCATATGTTGCATGACTTGAGCCAAATCCCGCATGGCATGGGGGTTCCTTCTTAATGCTTCGGGGATGAAAAAATCCCCATCAAAGTGTGGGTAGGATCCCCGACTGGATTGCCCTTGGGAGGTCCGGCTTTCTCCATGTCTATCTGAATTTCCTCCCGTGTGATGAGAAGTAATTCTAACCATTCTAACCCACAGACGGCGCCAATGTTGAGGTTTAATCCCGTAGGTCCGAAAGCCCAACACAGACTTTGGATATATCAAGAAATGGACAATAATTCGGTATGTAAAAGAAATATAAAAGATCGATAATCGAATGCTCAAAAGCCCACTTGTATTAATTGACCTGTTTGATTACAAGGAAATTACCCGAACGGTACGTCGGATTGATGCTTAATACAAGAAACAAGAGTAATAAGGCTATTCTAGGGCTTGAGTATTAAAATGCTAACCCTTACAATGATATTAAACCTTCTATTTATACTAATGGAGAGTATGGGACGCTTTATGCTGATTGGCCGATGTTCCACCGACTTGATCACCCATGCCTCCACTTGATGATGCCACAATCTGGCATTAATTGCACCTAGCCACCTGCTGGTTGTCCGTTGCCCGAACGGGATAACGGGCCCTGTAAAACATTGTTGATTTGGCCCAAGTATGATGTATGACCCGAACCCCGTTCGGTATGTCTATTTTCCGGGCCAGCCTTTACTTGGCCCGAACCTCGTTCGGTATGAATATCTTACTAGGCCTACCTATCATAGGGTAGTGGGCTCATTGTTTGGGCTGGCTATCCTGGGCCTTTAATTCGGGTATTGGGCTTCCGGGCCAATATCCCAACAACACCAATGCAAGATCGCAGAAGACGGAGGTAGATTGGATTAAAATTAATGTTGATGTGGTCAATAGTTCCAGCACAGGTTGTAGACTTGGGGTTGGGTTGGGTTGGTAGACACAACAATGAGGTTTCATTTGTGTGCGCAGTCGAGTTGCTAAAGTGGTATGGTCTTTAGTGGAAGCATAAACTATGAGGCTAAAGAAGTGATAATTTGGACAAGAGAGATGAGATGACAGAAAATTTTAATTGAGACGGACACAACATTGGTCGTTTCGGGCATACATGGAGTGACAAGTGTGGCTCCGGTGGGGCGGTTATTTTTTATGACATTAAATTCTTATTGAGTGAGAATTTTGACCTCAAAATTTATTAGGGTAGGCGTCCAACGAACCAGGTGACTCATGCTATAGCAAGAGAAGCTATTTTTATGATTTGGGGCAAAGTTCAATATTATATTCCGCCTAATTTGATTGTAAACTAATTGGTTAATGATCTATTAATATAATTTGGGGCTATATTCCATTAAAAATTATTCGCTGATAAACACGTAGATGATTGTACACCTCTTGCTTTGTAGAATGTCATCCCTGACTCATATAGTGATGTCAAATCTACCATTAGATATGGTGGGGATAATGGCCATGAATCTTGTGAATTTATTAAAGATTGTCCTAAACCTAAGAAAAATCACCATAATGAGCATGCTAATGTGGTTTTTTGTGAAGAAAAAAGGATGATATTTACGGTTAATAAATTGTGTGATCATGCATGTGTTAACTCCGTGCTTTCTAATTTTCTATGTGAATCTGATTGGTTAGTTTACTCTGGTTGTATATTTCATATGAATCATTTCAAAAAGCTCTTTTCAATTTATAAGAAAATTGAGAATGACTATGTGTATATGGCTAATAAAAAGAAATGCAACATGTTAGGAATCGGTGATGTATGCCTTAGATTTTCTTCTTGCCCTGCATTCACTTTAAAAGACGATAGACATGTTCTTGGTTTACGTTAAAATTTGCTTTCTTAAAAATGAAGGTTTTGAGGGAAAATGGAGGAAATGACTCATGAAAGGGTCATTATCATCATCATCACCATAGTGCAGCAAAGGCTCTCACCTACGATGACGCAAGGGAGAATCATGAAAGGGTCTCTTGTTATTTTTATTTTCTTATTCACTAAGTTACTAATGGGTTTAGTAAATTAATAAATTAGGTCAGGTAAATTAGAAAAGTAGTAAATTTTTAGTTTGCTGATATTATATATATATATATATATATATATATATATATATATATAATATAATATAATATAAAGAAATATAAAGAAATGAATGAATAAATAAATAATTTTATTTACATCTTATTTACATTAATAATATAATTTTTTTGAATTGGAATAAGAGCATAGCATGACCTTTATTTTTTTTTATTTTATTCATTGTTGAGTTATTTTTAATTTTTTAGTTTCATATATCAAATTAATTTTTAGTATCCTGTAATTATGTTTTTATTTTTAAATTGAATATCTCAAATTAATTTTTTATTATATTTATAATTAATTGAGGAAGAAATGATATATCTGATAGCTTCTCGGTAAGAGCACTCTATCAATATATTTAAACAAATATGTAATACACGAGCTAAGTTAGTACACTCTTGCACTTAATTTTTATATTTCAAACATTTCTAAGAGAGAACTTGTTACAAGTGAATAAGTTAATTTAGTGTTGCCGAATCCAAGTTATAAATGCTAGGTGGCATGTTAAATTTTATATTCCGGGCATTTTTAATAGACCTTAATTGCGACTGCTCCTCATCTCAGTGCCGCGTCTTCAGCTTTCAGCCTATCGCATTCCAACCTATTGCTCTGCTGGGTCTGCATGCCTCCAGAACTACAGTCGTCGTACAACCTCTAGATCCATGTAAAACTGAAAGAGCACGAATGACGCATTCAAGTAGGCAACATATTTCATGTCTTGTTCTAGGTAGTAGAGATTCTTAGTAGGGGTATGAACCATATGACTAATCTGGACTGTTCTTCTTTTCTGGTTGTATTTGGTCTTTGCTTTGACAGTTCTTTCCCGGGCACTGGCGCTTCGGATTGTTTTGTCTCCCTTGATGTGGAGAGTTGTTTTGGTGTCCCGATCAGCTTCGTCAGGTTAGGGGTTTCTAACTTCTTTCTTTTGGACCGCGTAGATAATGGTAGAGCTTCTTCTCATCCAGAACCACTTCTGTGGTAGGAAGAATTTTGTGGAAAAGTTGTATTTCGATTTCATTTTTCCGTGAGTAGTACTTATTTTTATTTTATTTCGAGTAGGTTTGGTTTGAATACTTGGATTTCTGAACCACTTTTGATAGGCAATATTTTGTATAATTTATTAAAAAAAAATGACGTTCTTTTATACTTGGGTATTAAAAAAACAACCTTAATTGGTGATTGTGAGGAAAACTCTATAACGCGCACAGGTAGTTCAGTTGGTCGAGTGGTGACAAAATTGGACCAATTGACCAAGGTTCGAAACACGCAACGGTCGTGTGGAAGTTACAAAACCTGAAATAAGGCTGGAACTCTGGTACGCACGTGTATAAGGCCTACCGCCACTTTACTGACAGAGTCACCGTGATTAACTATTCCACCATCCTATCGGGTCGGGGCTCATGTGGGGTGGGAGATTACATTTTTTGGACCAAGAGAAAAACTTTATAAAAAGGGGAAGAGGGTATATATGGGAAGGGAGGAATCGAGGAGGTTGAATGAATCATCACCATCGAAATAGAAGGGAGTGTCACGTCACTTGACCCGCAGTAAATTGGTTTGGGGAAGGCATGGAAATGATCGGCGAGGAGTACGAACACTACTGGGAAACTCACACTTTCTTACAATCGGAGGAGTTAGACAGGTAGGTTGATGATTTATTAATTATATTGGTGGCCGGTGGTATTAAGCGATTTGTGCGTATTTACTGATGGATTTGAATGGGGGCAGGTATTTGGAGGATGCCAGCATCCCGTCAGCAGCGGCGGCGGCAGGAGCGTATTACGATTCAAGCTCGCCGGAGGGATCGGCTGCATCGAAGAACATAGTTTCGGAGAGGAACCGAAGAAAAAAGCTGAATGAGAGGCTGTTCGCACTGAGGGCCGTCGTTCCCAAGATCAGCAAGGTCGGAATGAATTGCTTGGATCTTAATCAATTGCTTGATAAATTTACTAATAATTGGTGTATGTATTTTTATAGATGGACAAAGCATCGATCATCAAAGACGCAATCCAGTACATCCAGGAGTTGCGGGAGCAAGAGAGAGCAATTCAAGCTGAGATATGGGAGCTGGAGTCCTCCTCTACTCCCAATGGGTTGGAATTCGATGACGCCGGAGGACTGAGCCGCTCCAATTCCAAGAGGAGCAGGCGGCCGCCGCCGGGAGCTGATGAGGGGGCCGCCGCCGCCTGTGATGGTCGCCGCAACAGTGACTCCTCCTCCTCGTCTCATCATCCCCCGCTTCATCTTCTGGAGGTCAGTCTTCCTCACCTGCCCGCCCACAACACGACAAACGATGGCCCCCATAGTACTCAGTCAGTAATGCTTGCTTGCTTGCACCTACAAATAAACTTGACCCACCCCGCACGTCGTGTCCACAAAACCAAACCACAAACATACCAAACTCCAAAACCAAACCACAAACATACCTTCGTCCACTTAATATTGGTAATGAGTAGATAAAATAGAAATAAAGTACGAATTAATTAGAGCCACACAAATGTTACCAAATATGATATGAGACAATAATAAAGGGACATCCAAAAATGGAAAAATGAGACAATTACATGGAGACGAAGAGATTACTATTTATTTGAGTAAATTCTCTAAATAGGAGTACAAAAGTTTTAAAATTCCAAAATAGGAGTATCATGTTTTTTATTGCCTAAATAGGAGTAAGTTTCTGTCAAATTTGACATTACTAGGCTATTAAACATGGCATTTTTTTCTAAACTTGCCAGATTATTCCTATTCAAGGAATAAAAAACATGATACCCCTATTTTGGAATTTCAGAGTGTTTTTACTCCTATTTAGGCAATTTCTATATTTATTTTTGAGTTTTTGACATTTCTAGTCCCTCGATTATTATGTTTTTGACACTTTTTTATACTCAACTTTGGTTTTTTTCCATTTGTAGTCCTTGACTATTATGCTAGAGACACATTTGTTACACGTCTTTGAAAGTTTCCATATTCAGTCTTCCGACTTTCATAAAAGTGACTCTTTTGGTCATTAAACTATTATAATAACGACATTTTTAGTCCTCCTTTTATTGTGTCAAAATCGTCGTGGAAAGACTAAAAATGTCAATTTGATAATACTGTGACAACTAAATGTGGAAATCTTTGAAATCGGGGACTAGAAGTGTATCTAGCACAATAGTCAAGGACTAAAATTAGAAAAATTAAAAGTCGAGTACCAAAAATGTTAATGCACAATATTTAGGCGACCGAAAATGGGAAACACTAACTTATTTTTTATCAAAAATGATGTTTGTACACACTCTTATACACACTTTTGTACATACCTATGTCTGTGAAAGCTTTTTTTTTTGTCTGTGAACATCGATTCATAGACAATGTTTTGCACAAACAAAATATTGTCTGTGAACCGGATTCACAGACAAAAAAAAAGTTTCACAAACATGGTGTGTATAAAGTGTGTACAATGGTGTGTACATCAAGCATGGTTGATTTTTTATAGACCCCAAAGGAATCTTGCATTTAATATACTACTCGAGTATAATATATAATATACTACGTAATACGGAGTATAATATACTAATAAAAGTCACAATAATAACTATTCTTTTTGAAAGATAATAACCATTATTATTAATAGAAAAACTGACCTTAATATTAGTATCCGTGTTTGGATTTCCAAAAGTATGACCTCTTTTTATTTTTTCCTTTAATGTGACCCTCCTCCTGGTCTGTATCTTCTTCTTCGTTGCAGAGCTTCTTCTCCCTGCAACACTTCTACTTCTCCCATGGCACCACATGCTTCTTCTTCCCCAATGCAACAGACAATCTCCAACGTGACTTTTTGCCTTCACTTCTACTCCCTCATCCGCTCGTTTCTTCTTCGCACATTGCACCAACACCAAGCTGGTTTTTTCTTCACCGTCGACTCCGGCTTCAACACACGTCGCCGCCTTACACCACTGTCCCGCCGCAATTTTTTATTTCTTAAATTTTCTGTCCATATTTCTCGATCTATGGTGAGGATCTAGATCTCTTCGCTTATTGCTGCTCTTCTTCATTTCCATCGGCGAATCTAGATCTAGATCTAGATCGGTTCTTCTTCCAGCCATTTTTTCTTTCATTTTGGATTCATACATGGGGTCGGAAGGGGTTGCGAGAGGCGAAGGATGAGCCCAAGGTGGGACCATGGGCGTGGCTTGTTGGGCCTGGTTGGACAGTGACATTGACAAGGTTGCGGGTATAGTTGCGGGTAGGGGAGGGCTGTGACAAGTTCGCGGGGCAGGGAGGTCGGTGGCCGGAGGTTGGGCCGTGGAGGTGGTTGGAGCCTGGGTGGAGGCAGTGGCTAAGCCAGGCATCTCACTTGTGACATAGGCAAAGGACAGACATGGCCGGCAGAACTGGTCGGGTTTGGTATTGCAACTGGCGGTGTTGCCCGGAGGAGGGGTAGTGGGAGTTACTAGCCGAGGGGCGGCAACAGTCACTGCCCGGGGGCGGCGACAGTCACTGGCCGGAGGGCGGATGCAGTCACTAGCTGAGGGGTCGTCGGCAGTCATTGGCGAGACGACGACGGTCACTGGCCGAGGGCGGCAGTCACTGGCTAGGGGCGGCGGTCACTAGCCGGGGGCGGCAATAACGAGCGACGACAATCACTAATTTGGGCGGCGTTGGCAGTCACTGCACCGGTGATCACTATTTAGTGCTCTAATTGCAGTCACTGAAATTGCAAGTCCCTTTAATAAGAAATACACCGGTCACTGCATAATAGTCATATTTTTTGGAATTTTGTTTATACGATTACTTTTTTGTCTTTACATCTTTATTTAGTAATATTCATAAAATAAGGCCTTATTAATAACTTATAATAATAATAATGATTATAATAATAATATCATTAGTATTAATAATTATACTCTGTATTAAATAATTATAATACTAATATGATTTGATAGAGATAGGTCGTCTTCATTATTTTATTACGTATACTGTTATTAGGAGTTCTGATTTGAATATTACTAATAAATGGATAATGGACAAAAAGTGACATTTTTTAATTTCCAAAATGTGACTATTAGGTATTCCCTCCGTCCCAAAATTAACTACCCACTTTTCTTTTTGGACTGTCCCGAAATTAATTTCCTATTTCTTCCTACTTCCTTATTTGGCAAATTATCTACATCAAAACAGTGCAAAACGGTGCCAAACAATGCCAAAAAGCATCAAAACGGTGTCAAAACATTAAAATTTACCCCCCAGTAAATTTATTTCTTTAATATGTGTGAAAACAAAGTGAGAGGTTAATTATGGGACGGAGGGAGTAGTAAGCTTACTAATTTACCCCTAGTGACATGACATGCTACAGTGACACGAATACAATGACATCCATCACCTCCGATAGAGTTTATCCTGGCAGTTGTGGTGCGCGCCACTAGAGTTTTGGACGGGAAAATAGTCACTGGTGACGAGGTTGGGGTCACTAGGCTCTTGGGCATGGTGAGGTTACTGGGAAAGTTACAGGTAGAGGACGATGGTTCAGGGGCATCAGTGATGTCAGGTGCAGAAGGTTGGGGGCAGGGTGTGGAGGGACTGGATGGGAAATGTTCAAGCAAAGGGCGGGGAGTCAGATGTTGACGGTGGGGGAGTGTCGAGATCTAGAAAAAATTGGTCGGCTGAGTCACTGTGTTGACGAAAATTGGTCAGCGGAGTCAATGTGGTGATGGGGGTCATTAGCTGGACGACGATGGTCGCCGTGTCCGTCAGTGGTAACTATGTGTCCGTCGATGATAACTATGTTGGAGTCACTATGGTGGGGTTAGACTGTTTTTTCAGTGTCTATTGTTCTGGCTAGGTTTTCAATGACTACGGTTGTGGAGTTAGACCGGATGTCCCCGATTATGACTTTGATGGATTTTGAAATCCGGGGGGGAGTCTACAAGATTGTGGTGGATTGTTTTTGTATATAGAAATCCATCGAAATCCATTAAAATCCATGCAAATAAGTAACAACAGAAAACCACGGAATGTTTGAGGACACCCTTATTTTCACGGATTCCATAGAAGTATCCCACGAACACATCGCAGATGAACCTGGTCCAAATTGCTTAATACATGTAGGTATACAAATTTCCCCCAATCCGTCACCCTCACATGGAATTATTTTTAGTATTGGATCAACGTATCAAATTCTGTCACCGTTTAGGTAGACATTTTCAGGAATAACTATGTGAACTCCTCCCGCAATTGTAATTAGGAGAGCCAAGTAAATGTTGATAGGATAGTAGTGTGCCATCTCTGTAACAATATAAAAGCTTGTGCTTTATATATAATAGGTTTTAGTTCAAATAAGAACATGATCTTATGAGAAAAATGAGAATGAATCTGGACCGTTAGATTTGCTTTATGTGAAATTCAATGTGCATCAGATGAAAATGTAATGTGTATTAGGTGAAATTGAAATGTGCAGCACAAATGGTGCAATGTAGTGGCATTATGTGAAGCTCAATTGTGCATTAGATGAATTTGAAATGTGCACTAGATGAAACTAAAATGTGCAAAATAAAAGGTAAGATGTGATGTTATTTTTGTACCTTTTATTCTGCACATTTCAGTTTCACCTAATGCACATGTGAGTTTAAATTTTAATTCTGCACATTTCAATATCATCTAATGCACATTTCGGTTTCACCAAATGCATAATTCAGTTCCACATAATTCAATCCAACAGTCCAGATTCGTTCTCATTTCTCTCCTAAGATCCGTTCTTACCGGAATTGCTCCCTATATATATTTGTGTGTGTGTGTGTGTAGGTTTTGGTTCAAATAAGAACATGATCTTAGGAGAGAAATAAGAACAACTCTGGACCGTTAGATTTGCTTTAAATGAAATTCAATGTGCATTAGATGAAACTGTAATGTGCATTAGGTGAAATTGAAATGCGCAACACAAAGCGTATGATACAATGTCATTAAGTGAAGCTGAATTGTGCATTAGGTGAAATTGAAATGTGTACTAGGTGAAACTGAAATGTGCAAAATAAAAAGTACGATGTGATGTTATTTTTGTACATTTTATTCCGCACATTTCAGTTTCACCTAATGCACAATTGAGTTTAAATTTTTTTCTGCACATTTCAATATCATTTAATGCACACTTCAGTTTCACCAAATGCACAATTTAGTTCCATATAATACAATCCAACGATCCAAATTCGTTCTTATTTCTCTCCTGGGAGTCCGTTCTTACCGGAACCACTCCCTGTATATGTGTGTGTGTA